TACCAAGAAGACCTGGAGCAGTGTGGTCTGGATGTGACAGAGGCCTCGGTGTACTCAGGAGTTTGTACAGAGATCTTCAAAAGAGAGTGTGTGATCTTCCAGAAAGCAGTCTACTGCTTTGTTCATCTGAGCATTCAGGAGTTTCTGGCTGCTGTCTACATGTTCCACTGTTTCACTAACAGGAAGACGGAGGTGCTGGAGGACTTCCTGGAAGATGAAATGAATGAAGAGGAGGAAGATGATGATGAGGATTATGATGAAGACTTGTATTACACATCTGTAGCTGACTTTTTGCACATGGGCCTAAACAAATCTCTTCAAAGTAAAAATGGCCACCTGGACCTGTTTGTTCGCTTCCTGTATGGCCTATGTCTGGAGTCCAACCAAATAATATTATGTGGTCTGCTGGGTCAGACAGAGAACAGTCCAGAAGTTATTGAGAGAATCATTAACAACTTGAAGGAGATGAAAGCTAAGTTTATTTCTCCTGACAGAATCATCAACATCTTCCACTGTCTGATGGAGATGAATGACCTCTCAGTACATCAGGAAATCTTGGATTTCCTAAAGTCAGAGAACAGATCAGAGAAGAAACTCTCTGAGATCCACTGCTCAGCTCTGGCCTACATGCTACAGATGACAGAGGAGGTTCTGGATGAGTTTGACCTGGATGAATACAACACATCATGGGAGGGTAGACTAAGGCTTATTCCGGCTGTGAGAAACTGCAGGAAGGCTCGGTGAGTCCAGATGTTAATATCGTCCTAAAAACTGTAAAGATGCCATCAGCTGTCTGATATATACTCTAAGGTCTAGAAGTATGTGAATGGTGACACAACTTTATAGTTTGTTCTCTTCACACTAAATTTATTTAAAATGAAAATAGTGTGATAATTTCAGATTCTGAGCTTTAATTTGAAGTTTCAACAAAAACGTTGAAAAGTTTTTTTGGTCATTTTCATACAAAATCTTCTTTTCTTAATGGTAAATAAGGAATTTTGTTAAAGCTCTTTGGAATAATTGAAATCTGAACCTGTGGAGTATAGAATGGATTTCCTCCTTCCTTTGGTTTGCTCTTCAGCCGTGACATGCAGCTGCATAGGCTTCACATAAACGGGTTTTATATTCCTCCTGGGTCTGTTGAGTTTACACAATATTTTAGATCACTGTCTATGTGTCTTGTGAAGCTTTGGTACATGTTAGTGACTGGGAGAGTAATATCTTCCTGTACATCTGACAGTAGGGCTGGGCCATATTGTACCGTTCACGGTAATACCGATACAATGTTAGGCAACGATAAGAAAATGAAATATCGCGATAGAATATGGGTAAAACGCGCATGCGCAGTGCCTTTGTTTTCATACGCACATGGCCGATTGAGTGAAACGGATGAACCAGAATTGGTTTGTAAAAATGATGAAACTTCAGTGATGTGGAAGTGATTTGGTGTTTGTCCATCAGATACCCACCAAAGCACATTTTTCTTTGTAGAACACGCAAGCGGGCCGTCGTTATTGCCGTATTTGTCGGACTAAGGTGCTCGTAAATCTGGGAGTGATCTGGGTCCTAAACTCCTTTCCCTTCAGGTTCCAAAGTCAAACGAACACTGCAGCATCACTGAGAGTTAAAAACTGTCTAAATTCTTTCATCTTTAATAAAACGATCAGCATTGCTGCTTTACCAGGTGTAACTATGAAGTTTGACATCCAGGTAGAGCTGGGCAGTGTTGGGTAAGTTACTTTAAAATAGTAACTTAGGTACATTACTAGTTACTTCTCTCAAAAGTAACTCAGTTACTTCAAGTTACTCGTTACTTTCAAAGTAACTAGTTACTAGGGAAAGTAACTTTGGTTTTACTCAGAATTCTCTTGTTAA